TACGGAACACTAATAACCGGCTAATCTCGCTAACGACGCAGATTACCAACATTAAACACTCTCACCTAGAGAGATCTTATTGATTTAATTTCCGTATTAATTACTCCTTAATTAGGTACTAACTTGACCGTTGGAGGCGGAGCTCTCAGGAGTTTCCGTTATTTTGCAGGTACAGGCGTCCGGTTCCAGTCTCGGAATTGTAACTCTCCCGCAGGACATCAGAAAACCCCGAAACAAACTTCATCACAAATCACAATTGACATGCAATAATCAAGGTAAATTAAGGGGATAAATTAGGGGAAGTCATCTAAGGCAACCAACTACTCTCTCAAGCTAGAGGGATTACTTGAATCTTGAATACAACCTACTCTCGTGGTTACAAAGCATAAAACAAGTGTTAAAGCATAATCACGATGACATAAACATTCCCTTGACCGGAAATTCCTATTCTCATGACATTTCAAGTCAATTGAGCATAAGGGAGCTAACTCATCAAGTTCATCTCTCGATCCTTAGTTGAGAAAGCTTGGATAAATAGTTCTAGCAATGGCCATATACAAGAGCTAAACAATTAAACCACTTAAGCTCAACTAATTAGCATCCCACAATAACCAAACTAGCACATGCAACTAGTTATTAGTGACTACATTGAGGGTTTTACCCAAACCCTAGAAATTAGACTATTCACAATTCATGGAAATTAAAGCAATTAAAGATTTCAAGCAATTCATGAACAAGATCAAACTAAGGATTAAGCTAATTAACAATCTAAGCATACAAGAATTAAGCAAGTAATTATCCAAAAAGTTGAGAGAAATGGAAGAGAAGAGTAAGAAATAGTTACTATGAAACTTCAAGCTTGAACAACAATGGTGGAAACTTGTCTTCTACAATGGTTGAAATTGAGTTTTCCAAACTAATAATTAGAATCTAACTAATGATTTGAGAACTTAATTTTCTAGGATTGCAAAACTAAGAGAAAGCTCTAAAAACTTTGATAATCCGTACAAATGAGCTCAAAGGGGGTATTTATAAGACCCCCAAATAATAAGGACGGAGAAAACAAGAATAGGGCTTGACTGTAGGTCTGCACAGACGTGCCACCTTATGTACGGCCGTGCAGAGCAAGTCAGTAGGTACTATCTAGGCTGGAAATCCTGCACGGACTTGCCAAGTATGGCACGGACGTGCAGCCTCTTCTGCACAGACGTGCCAACTTAAGCACGACCGTCCAGGCCTTGTATTGCAGACTAAATTGGACTGGGCAATCTGGTCGGACGTGCAGACATCTGCACGGACGTGCTGGGTATCTTGCACGGACGTGCATAGCTCTACACGGACTTGCATGCTCAGGCAGAAAGTTCTGACTTGCTGGAGCACTCCTGCACGGACGTGCAAGATCTGGCACGGCCGTGCAGGGTCTTCTAAGCCCTTTTCTTCACCTTTTCTTTTGTTTTGCTCTTTTCCTTGGCTTCTTTCCATCATCTTCTTGCTTCTAACCTCAGTTTAATATCCATAGGCTTCATTTGGTCGTCTTTGGACCTAAAATCTCAACAAAAACACTAACAACCCGTGAAGCATAGGATACACAAAAATTGCATAATAATATAGTAAAAGTGAACAAAAACACAAATCTATCAAGTAAACTAGGTTCAAAAACACCCTAAAATCATATCAAATAGCAAGTTATCAAATCCCCCTAAGCTAAGCTTTTACTTGTCCTCGAGAAAAAACAATCGTGTCAAACCAAAGAAGGAAAACAACCTGCTAACATCAAACCAAGGAGAGGCAACAAGGAGGAAGCACAAATACACAAATCCGTATGGTGACAACCATAATCACTTTTAGCGCAAGTGAGAAGCAATTTAAACCTTTAAGTCGCCTTAGAGGACGAGTTTTTATCTCATGAGGGTTTCCATTAAGCTTAACCCACAACTCACACAAACCACAACAAAACTATCAAACTACACAAATTCTAATGTTTTTATCACCTAATTCAACTCACCGGGATATAAATCACAAGCGAGACAAGTGAGCGACTTTCAAGAATTACCAATCATACAAATGTACACATGAGTTGGGGGTAAAGAGGAAAACCAAGCAAGGTTGTACTAGGATACTTCTTTAGACCTTTTACTAGTTCATTAGAGCACATCTAGATATTCCAAAGTTGTAACAAGCCCTCTTTTGGTTATAAAATCTCAAAATGCTAGTCCATTTCCCAAAATGCACACCCGAAGTCCCTTAACTACACTCTAACTCGGGAATTTCACAAGAAACAACATAGTAAACAATGTGTGGGAGGCATCCACAAGTTGACCTCTAAAGAAGAGAAAATCAAAATTTTGAGAATTTTGGGGGAGTTTTTATTCTCCCTTCTTTTCTATGTTTTTTTTTTTTCAACATTCATTGCCCTCGCCTCTTTTAACTGTGAGCAGCTCTTTCTTTATTAGGAACGTATGGCTTATTATGCCACTTATTACACATGATACAAATAGCGCTAATTCCCTAATAGTGTTTCATTTCGGGGAGGAGATGAGGCACATTAAAGGCACAAGGGACCGCAATTCGATTCAAACATATCCTACTTTGGGCAAATTTGACAATATCCTATGCTATACGTGCAATTGAGCATTCATTGGCTTTCATTTCATATACACTAATGCAATCAAGATTAATAGACCTCTAAATGACCCCAACTCTTGCACACACCCTTCTAACAGAACTTTTACTCATCGCTCAAGAGTCAAGCAAGCAAAACATATAAGCATCGTCATTTGAGTCTCATCCTTGGGCATTTTATTTTCGTTTTTATTTTTTTAATTTTTTTTTAAGAAAGAGATATTTACAGCATTAAGCTAAGCTAAGCATAAAAATAAAAATAACTTTACATCTAAATAAGGAGATAAGAGAGGTATTCACAAGATAAGAGATTTGGATTTAGGGTATTGGATTTCAAAGGGAGCAAATTTAGATTCAAGGGATTTGGATGTTTAGGGAAAGGGAACAATCAACATGCAAATTCAACATGCAAACACGAGAACACAACATGAACCAATGACACATGAGAAAACACTCCCCCCAAGCTATCATAAACATTGTCCCCAATGTAAAAGCAATGCGAGCACAAAGAGAAGGGGAGGAAGAAACTAACTCATTGGTTCAGGTCCCCTTGGGATCTTGAGCCCCCGGGGTAGAGATGCCGGTACACATTGCGGAAATCGCCCAATTCCGATCCGAGACCCTCGAAACTTGTTCTCATATTGTCGCATGAAGACCTCATGCTTCGTTTAACTTTCTCATGGTCTCAAATTCGGTGGTCATGCGGCCGAAGTTTGCATTCATATTGGCGATTTGCTGCTCAAATGCGAGGTATGGGTTGTTTTCACCCATCCCTTGACCTTGGTACCCCTCTTGGTACCCTTGTTGGAACTCATGTTGTTGATCAAATTGTTTTTGCTAAAATTGTTGATGTTGTTGTTGATGATGTTGTTGTTGTTGGTGTTTGTCTTGTTGTTGTTGCTCTTGTCTTTGCTCTTCTCCCTCTTCACCGGGAGCCCAAGGAAAGTCCCTCTAAAAAATCCAATTGATTTGTCATAGATGGCGGTGGCCTCCGGGTTAGGGAGATAGGCATAGGGACGCCTACTCACTAACCACAAGTAAGGGGTGGTTCCCCTCTGCATCCATGAGCCACTTCATGGCCCTCAATGACTGCCTGTCCAACTATGTCGGCCTTGGGACAATCACTTCATCTGAAAAATCAAGGTAAAGAGCAACAACAATAATAGTAATCATGCCACCTATGGTGATGTTGCCGGATCCTGTGGCAATATCCTCAAGGTGGTCTACAAACCAAGACCCAACATCTAAGCTAGTGCTCCCTTCACTCAAGTGCCAAAGGAAGTAGAGCTCCCTTGAGGACACCACCCCCGAGCTATCCCCCCTAGAAAACGTTGTGTTTGCTATAATGCTCTGAGAGAGTCTAAATGCGGGGTGGATAATGGCAGTGGCCTTATCAGATCTAGGGTTGTACTCAAAAGCCCCCGAGATTCTTCTCCAAAAATCCCCCGCATTATAACCACGCGGGTGCCTATCCTTAGGTCAGATAGTCCCGGTTGTGGGCCACCCAAAAGCTTGGTTCACTCTTGCTATAGTAATTTTATGTTGGGTGTTCATGAGTTGGAAGGTTATGTAGAGAGGGGTCCTCGTGGTGTCCCGATGCACATAGAGGGTGGAGAGGAATTCAAGGGTTAGTCTCCTATAGGTTTGGGCATGCATTTGTAACCAAGAACCTAGGTTGGCACCCTCAAACAACATCCTAACATCGTCTCCTACCTCTAGGGAATTGGCTACATCGTCATTGTAAAACTTAGTGGGCCTAATTCGCCTCCTACTATATCTAAGGAAGTTGACAGAAAAGGCCGGGTCATTGAAGATTATTCCCATTGTATCCACTTGTGGTGGAGCAATGGGAGGAGGAGGCGATGGGTTCCTAAGTCTAGTGGAGGAGGTGTTTCTTAGTTGGTTTCTTCTTGACATGATCAATTTTTTTTTCAGAAACACTTCAAACAAGCACAACACCCAATAAACAGAGACTCGAAACACACAAGGCTCTAAGGCCTTGTTTAGTTCACCTTATTTTTACTTATTTCAGAAAAATAAGTTCAGATCAGATCAGATCAGAAAAAATAAGTTCAAATCAGATCATATCAGAAAAAATAAGTTCAGATCGGATCAGATCAGAAAAAATAAGTTCAGATCAGATCAGACCAGAAAAAATAAGTTCAGATCAGATCAGAAAAATTCAGATAAAATACAAATTATTATTATTATTATTATTATTATTATTATTATTGATTTATGATTTATCGGATTTGATTTTATCGTTTGTTTGAACTAGCAACATTTTCTATGTTATTAAATAGCACAAACAATAAACGATAATAATTCAAATTTCATTATAAGCTCCAAATCATAAACGTTTACAAATATAATTTTCATTACAAGAAGTTCCAAATTTCCTTCACTATATTAAGTTGTACTTCTTTCATTACAACTTTACGATTCTTGTTAAACAAATCATAATCTGCTCTTGGTTCGATTTCTATACCACTATCAATGGGTATATCTAACTCATGTAATCGAATAAAATTGTGAAGTGTGAATGTAGCAACCATAATTGCCAATTGATGTTTAGTGTCCATATTTGACATCATTGTCAATATTTTCCATCGAGATTTTAATTGTCCAAAACATCTCTCGATCGTTGTTCGAAGTGAAGAGTGAAGATAATTAAAAAGTTCAAGAATGCCTTGAGGTGGTGGACCATTTCGAAATTCGGGCAAATGGGTTCTAATATCTTTATCTTTTATTGGACTCAAATTTCCAACGGTATTCGAATATCTAGAATCTACTAGATAATATTTTCCTGTTACAAAATAAAGTTATACGGCATATTAGTATAGTGTCATGTATGGAGTAAAAACATACACTATTTTAAATTATACCTGGAGGTGGATGGGGAAATCGAAATTCTGGTACGGTTAAGCAATGGTTCCATACAGTAATATCATGAGCACTACCTTCAAATCCAACGTTGATAAATGTGAAAAATCTATCAAAGGAACAGGCAGCCAAAACATTCCATGTTTTTTTTCCAGAACGCCCTCGATGTGCCACACCATCATCATCGCTTACAACTGCATTTATATGAGTCCCATCCAATGCTCCAACACAATCCTAATAGTTCATTAACATTTAAAGATACATTTTATAAGTGATTATATATTGCACATGCATAAAATAATATAATGACAATGCAAGATAATAATAATGTTTCTTAATACCTTGAAATATGACCAATATTTTATGCTGTCACCTATTTTTTTGGCACCTCGCTCAAACTTTGGTTTGGTCTTATGATCTTGGTAGACTAATGAACCATTGCTTGCAGTACTTGTTTAAAGTACAACCCAATTGTTGCAATAGAGTGCTGAAATCGACCGGCAGCACCACGATAAGAACTGCCTTTAGCCATGATATATAAAAATATTCCTAATTGCTCAGCCACAAATATGTAATGACCATCCGATAATAAATTTTTATTTTTCATGCAAGTAACAAGATCCACAAGTATGTTTCTATCTAATCTCAATTGTTCTTTGCATAAATCAGGATGGGCATGTAGTAGTCTGTTTATGTATTCGCTACCAGATTCTCCACCTAACCTTAAAGGCAATCTCTCAATTGGTGTAAGAAGTCTCTTTAGCTCTTCCAATGCGATAATTGTGAAGCATAGTGGAAGTGTGTTATCCATTCTACAACATAAATCAACAAAATACCAACATTATTCAATTTCTAAAATAAAATCAACAATGACTTTTAAAATAAAGGCTAAAGCTTCTTAATTAAATCACCTGAAAAGCAATAGCATCATATGAAGCTACTTAAACCTAAAGGTCAGCAAAAATAGTAGCTTCATATGTGGAACCTTAATTAAAACTAAAACAACATCAAATAACTAACAAAGAACATATAAAACTGCAAAACAAGTCATAGGAAAAACATAAGACAAAGTTAACTCCGAATACTCATCACCCCAAAAAACCTAATTAAGGACCACCCAATGATGGATCTTGAAATGTTGTCTTCAAATACATGATCTTCTGATCATCAGTTCGGAGACCTAAGAAGAAATCTGCATTGTCGCCATGATGAAGAAAATTCATACATTGGTAAATAAATCCTTCTCCTTGTTGAACAGTAGCCTCAATATTGTATAGAGCTTCTAAGACATCTTTATACTTATTACCACTCCCTTACTTACAATTAGTTTCAATAGACATTTTCAACAACTCTATACAAGAGTCAATGTTACTACTCTTGTTTTTTTTAAGTTTACTAGTACACCCATCACTCTTACGTTTCCCCAACGAGGTAATTTTAGGAGGTGAAATGCTCTGTTCATCATCCGAATTATTTATTCCCCTACTCATTTTCATATCTACTATATTTTCATCACTGTCCCCAGACCTTTCCTCATTTTCTTTACCAATTTGTTCCCCACCTAATCCTGGAGAAAAACTCCATTTGCTAGTAGCAAAAGACCCTGAAAAAAGTGCTCGTAGCTTATCTAGATGAGGCAATGGTCTCCTTAGGAATCTCGCTGGTAAACCTTTATGTTTCTGCATAAATGCACAAACTTTCAATTAAATAAATTTAAAAATAAAACTAGCATTGTAGAGGTCATAATGCAAGAAAATGGATAAACAAAATGTCATACCTTCACAAATATATTCCACCTATCATCTTGTTCAACTAGAGGACAACCAGTAATAGGATCAAATGTAAGACCGGTCCAATTGAGTTCCATTTCATTCCAAATTTTGAACTTTTTCGTTAAATCATCCCAATGATTTCTTACTTGTTTAATATTGAAATTCTTCCCACTTTTTACGTTCAAAGTACTCACTATTCTATCCCAATTAACCTTTGATAGTCCACTTGCTTTCATCTCCAAGCATATGTCCAAAAAAATTTATGTACTGTCATCAGACCATGCTACCCTACCAGCCATTACACTATGATCAAGAGCACTTTTAAATTATTAGTTTCATGCATGAAATATATAAGTAACTATAATTTAATTTATGTTATCAAAAAATTCTGGTCAATCAATTATGATTCACAACATTGGCGGATCTTGAACAATTTTCTATTGGGGGCCAATCATTTTTTAACATAAATATATGTCTAAAAAAAACAATAAAATAAGTACTGGTATATTAGAATTATAATATGAACAAAAACAAGAAACTAGTGGTTAATGAATTTTATCATCCATGCTAAACATTTTACGTACTATGAAGGCTTTTTAATTGTGATTGAACAAGGGGTTTTTAGTTTATCACAATATACGTATTTTAAGGGCATTTGCAATAAATATTAGGATGTTTTGTAAAATTAGCTCCTAACATTAACTTCCCCAAAATTTGAAAATTAAAATAAAATATTGCATGAGGTTCATTTCTATGAAAATATATAATCAAAGATATAAATAATCAAAATATATATACGTTACGTTTCTTCTTCAAAAAAAATATATACGTAGTACTTCTAACATCTACTGAGAAACTAGGAGGAAATAACCAAGGACATAGATTATCATCAAATGGCCCATTAGCTCAGCTGGTTAGAGCGTCAAGCTAATAACGCGAAGGTCCTAGGTTCGACCCCTGTAAGGGGCATAATTTTGGTTTCTCAAAATCCTTTTCCTATTTTTTTGCAATTTATTTTAAAAAAAAATAATAAAAATAAAACAGGTTTTCAGAACCAGTGGCGTATTTTAGCAGGAGACTTGTAAATGTAAATTTGTAATGGTTACGTTAACCGCAAAGTTCACGCCATCACAAACAATTTCCAACTACCAAAATTACCTAATTTAATAATTTAATTTTCCTGCAAACTAATTTTCCATTCCTCTTCGATATTTTATCCTACAACTTCAATTTTTGAAGAAAAAGTTTCGATTTTTTCATCCAAATCTTCGATTTTTGAAGTGAAAATTTCCATTTTTGAAGAAAATTGTTCCATACAAAATGGATGTATTTGATCTAGAAAAGAACTTTGCATTTTATGCTGCATATCATAGCAACCCAGTTAATATTTTTATTCATATGCTGTTTGTTTGGCCAATTTTTTATACTGGGCTTATGCTACTATACTTTGTACCCATGCTGTTTTTCACTAATTTTGCACTAATTATCACTATAACATATCAAATTAATAAATGATATCGATCAATGCATATATCCTCCATGAGCACCCCCTTCACCGCCACCGGGCCCACCGCCATAACCACCAGCATAGACATGACCCAACTCTAAACAATTAAACCCATAAAGTAAACAATTCACAAATCACAAGTATTGTAAAAGTTAAATAACAGGGTGACAATCGATAGATAATTTTCAAAAAAAAAAATGATATATCATCTTATCACCTACTATACAATCATCAATTTGTTTTCGAGTGTTTAAATTAGTCAGAGTACTAATTTGACTACACAAAAAAATAATTGAAAATTAAATAATTCCTCCTTAGATAAAAAATTGAATTGAAACAATAATAAACTTCGTAACTCGTAAATTACCCGATGAAGTGATGATTGTAGACGAAATCATGAAAATATAATAAAAAAACAACAAAGAGTTAAAGTATTTACTAGTCGACGAGATTGTATACGAGCAAGCTACTACAATGAGCAACAGAAGGACAAAATTTGGGAGAAATTGATGTGTTGTAGGTGAGAAATATTGCAATATGAAGGAATATATATACACAAAAAAAACTGTAGTACCAAACTACCAATACTCCCAATTAATATATATAATTGTCAGTCAACCATGCAGATTAGGTCTTTACTTTTTCATAAATAAAACAATACTTGGTATATAAAGAAAAAACAGCCAACCATGCACCATGCAAATACATGTCGGTATTCATTTCCTAGGATAAAGTCAATGTGCCATTAATTGTCGGTTAACATATTAGATTAATTATTATAAAATGAGATAATTATAGAAACCCAGTTCAGAATTCTGTAATTGACATATAGTAAAAATACAGTACCGAGAAAACCCAGTTCAGATTACAAAAAAAGTAATTTAAAATAAATAAATTAAACAAAAGAAAAATGTGAGTTCAGATAAAAATTGATGTAGCAAATTCACAAAAAAAAAATAAAGCAGAAAAATGAAGTGTAAAGTACCAGCAACGGTGAAAAGTGTGAAGTAAACACAAAAAAAAGAGAGGAGAGAGAAAGTGTGAGTACAGAGAAAAAGAGAGAGACAGTTGTTATAGAAAAAGGAAAGCAAGGTCAAAAGCTGGAAAAGTGAAAAATTAAAGATCAGAAAATATATTATTAAAAAATTAGGGGACAATAATAATAAAGAGGAAAAGTGGTCAATGTGTCGTTAATTGTAATTCCCACACAACCATACACGCATCAAATATCAAGAAGTTGAAAAGTGAGGTACTCCAAAATAAACTAAAGCAAACAATTACTGACTTTAGATACAAAAATAAAAAGGGTTTTTTTTTTTTTTAAAAAAGGCAGATCTTACAACATATTTACATAAATCAATCAATAGCTCATCTTGTTTTTAAGAAAAAATCAATCAATTTTTTAACAAATTTTTTTTTAAAAGAAATCAAAATTATTAATAATTCACTAATATTCTTCAATTTTTATAAAAAAAATCAATTTTCTTAAAAATAAATAAATTAAAATAACATTCCGTCTTTATCAATATTATATTCTTAAAAAAAAGTAAAAAAACAATAATGTTCAATTTTTATCTTATCTAGCAACCCATTTCATGATTAGATAAATTTTTTTATAAGGGATTTATTTGCTACTCCACAAATATATAAGA